AAAACTTTTTGATTTATATCTAACTTATGTATTGAAGAATAAGTGGAAAGTTATATAAAAGTGTTTGAATTCTTTGTGAATCTATTGTTTGACTTATATTTAAGGAACACTTTTATGAGTATTTGAAATCCATTTTTACTAATCTATTTGAGTTTAATTCAATTAAAACATTAGAGAAATCATTCAATCATTAAAACCATTTGCCATTAAAATTGTTTTTGCAGTTATTGTATCATAATTACTGATAATGTTTTAATAGTATGTAAATTTTTGTTTCGAAGTTTTATTAGATTCAATCAATTTTTGTTAAGAAAATTGAAAACAAAATATATAATTATTGTAATTATATTATAAAGTATTAGCACTAAAAATAGTTGCCATTAATATAATACTATTAAAGTATTGATAATAAATATTTATTTATAATACAGTATATGTAAAATCAAAATAGACTGCAATCTGCCAAAAATGATTGCAGTACAAGCTCATTTTAAAAGTTAAAATATATACTAATCTCTAATTAGCAATAATTCTCTATATAAAACATTTTGACTTTTCGTTAACATTCTTATGAATTATTATACAGAATATATAATACATGAGTTGTAGACATGAGTGAAAACATATCCTAAACAAGACTTTGCTTTTTGGACTGACTCTGACTCTGACACTGAGACAGATCACTGACATTGCCGGTGGTGGCTGTGATGCTGTTCCCTCTGGGCTTATCGCTCACACAACTGCCGCACGCGCTCGAGAATAGGTGGCTGTGATGGTGATGGCTGTGGTAAGGCTTGTCAGTCCTGTACGTACTTTGAGTGCACGCGTTGGCCAACAGTGACTGCGAGGCGTCCATCTGTACGACGGAAGGCCGCGGCAAATACGCCTCCAAGTCGTGCACCGGCACTGTGGCCGCCGCCTCAGTCATGTCGTTGAGAACTTTGATTTTTTGGATCATCTCTTTGATCTCATACCTCAGAATCGCCAGAAAACACACTTTTATGAACGTTATCACACAGAAGCCTAGTATTGACAGCAGGTCTGCCGAGTGTTGCAGCCAATGGTGAATGTGATCATAACAGCCGTATATATATACTAAGTCCGGGTCATAACTGGTCACACATTTGTCTCTCATTAGGATTTGTTCGTTTGGAAGAACCGGTAGATTCTCACGACAACAGCTCTTTGGGAACAGTTGTTGCGGATCTACTGTTTCGTAGTTCTGTTCAATCAGTGCCGTCATGTTGTAGTCAAACGGCCCGTCGATACCACAACACTGGTACTCACTTTGTATGCTATTCCAGGTCTCCTAAAATGTTTAATTTATACCGAATATAGTATTTTCATTTTAATTACAAAACCCTTTTAAAATTCATTAAAATCTATCCTCTTTTATCATATATCCTATAAATTTTTAATTTTTATCTTAAAAATACTTTTATGACTTCATAATATTACTTATACACAACATTCTGTCTTTATTCATATAACTGTATATTACATTTTCGACTTATCTCATGAAAGGCATGCTATTAAAACTACTTTATAATTCTTGAATTTTATTCTCACTAAAAGGCTAAACATATTTCTGAATATTTTGAACTAAATTTTATGAAAAGAGTAGATGAATAATAGACTCAAACAAAAATTTATTCACAATTTAACTTTAATTTTCGTTTTTAATAAGTAGAAGCGTTATAAGTGCTGCACAATATTCTGCAATTCTGTGCTTTGCTATTGAGATATAAAACACTGCATAAAACCGTACAGTTGTTTTGAAATAAATTTTATGTTTGGGAAATAGCGTCAATCAAACTATGTTTTAAAAATATTTAATAAAAACCAAAAATTAATCTCAAATTCATGCCACTTTCAAACGATTATATTTGAGTTAAAATGGCAAAAATCGATTTTCCAATGCTTTTGATTTGATTGCTTCGCACAAATCCCTCATAAATTTTCAAAACACTTGAGAATAAACTGCAACTAATTATTGAGTTTAAACAAAATCCTAGTCCTGTTTAATTAGACCTCAAAGTTTGCGTTACTCGAAGTTTTACTCTGGCACACTATACAGTATATCGATATTTATAATTAACTTGTATTCAAATAAATATTTTCGTTCACTAATTATAACTTTTAATTTATGACATATTTTTGTCATAAGTATAACGATTCAAATGATGTTTTTAGTTTAATTAATTAAAGCCTTTGATGAAAACTATAATTAATATTCAATATTTTGAAAGTCCTATCCATTCATTCTTATGAAATAATAAGTCTTTGAATTAAACTTCAAGTCTATTCTGGATTGAAGATAACATATGATTTTGAAGTGATATCAGATTCAGTGAAAACTTATACTAAAATCTCTACATTTGAATATCCACTCAAGTATTTACTCCACAAAAACACTTCAAATTCTGTTCTCGAGAAATGCATTCTTAATTGAATCCGAAACTTGTTTTGCATACATATTCTTAATGTTTAATGACTGAAAAGATTGGCGATTAAGAAATTACAAGCGATTTGATGATATGCTTACTTGAAATTCAATGTCCATCCCGTAATCGTTTAATAATCTAAGCTTTAAATCTCCCCTCAATTTGGCAACAATTGTATTGAAGCGCAGAATCCATACAATTCCGATGATTCCGTCGCCGAATAAAAGTGCAATCATTAGAAATAAGTATAAATTCAGTAAATTCTCGTTAAGCCTTATCGCTCCGAAGCACCCGATGGCCTATCATATCAAATAGAAATGTTTACAAAAACACACATTAATATTATTACATATACCAGTTTAATGGTAGCATTCATTTTGTAATCATTTTAGCGCTTATATGCCAACAGAATGCACAATACATTTAATTAAATTTAAATTTAGTAATTGAGAGCACACTCTGTATATAAAATATGTTCAATTCTGTGATTTTTCTTTTTTTCATTATTCATGAAAACTTTTATCTGCAAAATTCTTCAACACTCGGCGGAAATTATTATATTTTTGAGTCAAAATAGAAAAGGTTTCTCACGAATACATTATTAAAATTCAGGAAATTATGTGCTCTTATCGTCGGATCGCATAATAAATCATAATTTCATAATCTATTTAAAAATGAGATTTTAATTAGAATTGCGGCTTTTGACAGTTACATAGCGATGACATTTTTATTGAATGCTTTCTAAAAAGTAATTTTATATGTAATAAAAACCTAAAAATTCGCTTTAAATGCCTCGTCTTACACTTATTCCCGGGGCCTGTACTCTACAGTAGTAACACATTTTTATTTTAAAATATACTAATTCTTGAAATAGTTTGTAGTCACTGAATGAAATGTAATTTTGCAGAATTTAAAGCAAATAATCAAAATTCGTATATTTATCAATACATACAGTACACAATCACATCATAAGAATTGATTTTAAAGTGAATAAACACTTTAATTATTTATTTCTGGCAAAGTTTCTGATTAAACTCTTCTGGTAATTAACGATAATTGATATGTAATTAAGTTCATTAAATTATTACAAGTAAATTTGTGTTATACTAAAACATTTGCTTCAGAAATATCTGTAAACTCTCTCTCTCTCTCTCTCTCTCTCTCTCTCTCTCTCCCTCCCTCTCTCTCTCTCTCACACACACACACACAGCTCTCAGACAATCAGTCAGTCGATAATAATAAGACTGAACAGAAGAATAAATATACAAAAAGTGAGTTACGAGTGGAAAAATTACTTTTAATGTCAAAAGTGCTAGAATTTTATTCTCTTAAGTTATGTATTGATTTGACTTTTGTGAAGAATATTGCATTATTTGCTAGTTTTATATTATTTATTTGAAATGCACTGCAAATATATATTTGAAGACATTCTTCAATCTCATTCATAATGCTGTGAATAATGGTTTGGAAGAACAACATATCATATATTATACATATTTATATAACAAAATACTGATGCATTACATAACGTTAGTACTGTATGTATACGTATGCAAGTAATGATATAAAACAATAGGAAACATGTAAATGTGACACAACATCATAACATTACAACATTTAAATAAAAGTGGATAAAAATGATGATTACCTGTAGTACTCCTCCCTGAAGAATAATAGCACAATAGCTGTAGAGAAAGGTTGGCTCATATAACTTGATTGAGGGAAATAACATCATTTTGTCGTCGTTTAGCACACATATGAAGGCAATCAGATATATAAGAGTCGCGACCAATAGTGCGATATTACACGAGTAGATCCAGAATCTGTAATATCTCATCGCCCTATTCATTGTCTTTAGAAACATTGGAGAGATTACGCCCTAATGTATGTCAGGATTTACAGCAATTAATGCCTATCGCCAACAATATACAAAAGTCAGTGCCTTCGAGACAAATGCTATAAATAAATGAGACTTTTCTATGCTTTTCATAAGATTTGATGTAATTTATTATAACTCATTTCGATTGCCATTTCCTTCGCTATACTCTCGACACCAATACAGAAGAGAAGAGGAAAGATGAGCAGCAAAGAGGAGATGAAAAACAAATTATTATTATTCCGTATTTCCAATAGTTTTAAGTTTGGATCGCGGAAGCACTTCAATGGAGGCGGCAGTCATTTGGCAGTTGAGCCTCTTTTTGCTTAATTGTCGCTCTCTTCCAGTTCAGTATCTATTGATTGACATTACAATCACATATTAGTTCCCATCTCATAATCATATATAATACAGTAGTTCCCAATTTATTTAATTATTTCATTAATATGAAGCCATGTATGATCTCATGTTGTGAACTATTGTTTAACAATTCATTTATAGTCTAAAATTTAGTTCCCATCTCATAATCATATATAATACAGTAGTTCCCAATTTATTTAATTATTTCATTCATATGAAGCCATGTATGATCTCATGTTGTGAACTATTGTTTAACAATTCATTTATAGTCTAAAATTCAAATTCTATAGCCCTTTAGCTCATTCTGTCAGTAATGCACAGAATATTTTAAAATACATGTTTTTCTATATTTTATTTTTATCACTCATTTATTATCCGATTTCTCATTTCATTCTCTTTTAAATGCATTTTTGTTTTGGTTCTTATGTATCGATTTCTGATAAAATATTATGAAATAATGAAATATTAAATAACTAATCAATTTTATTAAAAATAGTATCGGAATAACGATAATATAATTATGACAATTGATATGTGTATTATAATATCATTTATTATATGAATATATTAATGGGAATAGTTTCTAATTTAGATTAATTTGGTTAAACTATGCAAAATAACCTTTTGATATACAATAAACTAATAAATAACAATTATATGTAAATGAGGAATCAAAACTTGCAATAATATAATCCCTTTAATGCATTGTATATATTAATATTATATACAATATTTAAGTCATTTATTAACTATAAAAGCAATATTTTGTTTAAATCAAGTCTAAATAAAAAGCTTGAATATATATTAATAATACAATGCTTGATAATAAACAGTAATATTAAAAATGATAAATAATTAATTAGTTGTGAAGTAAAACGTGTTCGCATTCTTTGTTTAGTGCATTCATTCAATATTTAAATGTGAAGTTTGTTTGTAATAATCGTCAGTTTGTCTGACGATATATTGATGTCATTTAATGTGAGAAGTGATGTTATAATAAGGAATTGTATTGAAATTGATTGCAGGTTTCAGTGGTTTACTTCAAATGGCATTAGAATTGCTTTCTATTATGAAAAATACACATTTGTCTGAATCTAATATTTGAAAGGACCTTCTGTTTATAGTATAAGGTCTGGCATTAAAATGTAATATATTTTAGTTATGAGAGAAAAGGCATTAAATTCGCAAAGAATCCTACTATTAATCATTTACACACAATTGTATTCTGTATTCTGTCATTTAAAGCAAATTCAAATCATTAAATATGAAATGAATGCTTACAACTGGGACTCAAATACTAAATATATGGAAGTCCTAAACAAAAGTTTCTTTTTTAACGATTTCTAAAGAAATGTAGAGAAATATCACATAAAGAATAAGTGACTCTAATTTGCAAAATCTTTAGCAGAATATGTAATTTTCAAGTACTTTTCATATATACAAAACAGTTTTCATAATTGCTTTAATCAGACTCAATGACAAAAGTTTTACTCCGATTTGCAGCAAATAACAAAAAAGTGGGTTCACTCACTAATTAGCCTCACTATTGATTAAACAAAAAAAACATTTTTCTCAAAACTCTGTATAATTACTTTCACTGAAATTGCTTTTACAAAAACTATTGTTAAATTTAAGGCAAGATTTTAAAAATATTCATTTAATTCTATTCACTCGCTTACAGAATATATTTATTTTTGAATTCTCGAGTTATTTATGAGCAGACTTTTTGCATAACATGTACAATACATGTTTCTGTATATATGACATGGATTAGTAGGGGATTAGAGAATTTCTATTAAAAAACATTTTCAATTACTTACTCATACAATATGTGCAGAAAATTATTGGCGATAATTGCATGAAATGACGAAAATAAAAGTATAGTCAACACAATATACATAAGAGCGATGCAAATGAATTAAAACCTAACAAACAAACAGCGAGTTCTGTGTATTATTTGCCGACAATTCACTATTAAATTCATTCTCTCGTCAAACAGTCGTCAGTCTTCTCCACACATAAGAAAAGGAGAGTTGGGTTCGCGTTTGAGTTCAGGTTTTAAGCCAAACACATATCAAATGCATTAAACATTTGAATCATAAAAGTATTGTTCAATACTTGTATAGTATTTGTGGGTCTATTGCGTTCACTCCGATTCTGTCGCCCGAGAGTATGCTATCGATGTTCACAAGACCTGCGCATCCATTGCTCCCATTCTCTCCCATTCTCTCCCATTCTCTCTCTTATTCTTGGCATCAGATCCGACGCAACATTACTTCAAATACCAAGCAATACAGCAATACTTATGGATTCAATTCGACAAAAGAATTTTTAGGCATTTTATTCAATAAAATAAATAACACTTCGAATCGATATTATAGTCCAAGAAATCGGAAATTTAAAACTATCTCTGAATAAAATATGTCTTTTCACTCAATTTGTATTTTTTCATCATTTCTCAGAAATGTTGAGATTTGTGATGAGTTTTTATACATATTTTTTGATACATTTTCTCAATCCATCATAAATGCAAATAAAATACATTATGCCATACATTGTATTCATTGGGACTGTCGTTGCCTAACATTATATCTAATATCCTTACCATTCATTCATGCATTCTATTGATTACTACACAAGAAATTGATTCAAGAGTTTATAAATAGAGAACACATTAACCCACAGATTATTCATGAGATATGTTTCCAACAACTTATTGACAAATATGTTAATTATAGATAAATATGTTTTCATAAAACTCACTTTTATTTGAACATAATCTCAATTTTCATTACCGAGCAAACTTTACGATTTCTACTTATTCCCATAATAAGGTAATCAAACATAAAATTGATTTTAATATCAAAAATGACGTGAATTAGAAAAAGTTCACTCATATATCAAACAAAAAAGAAAGAAATCATAAAAACTCAATAATAAAAATGATTTTTGTTTAGTGAAAGTAATTATTGTTTTTGTTCGACATTTTAAATATTAATCTAAATTTAAAATAACATTAATTATTAATTAATAGCTAAATGGGAGTACATATAAGGGAAGCATTAGAAGTTCATTGGGAGGCGTCGGACGCAATATATTTGACGGTCTCTCCAGACTAGGACTCAAACCACTGTTTTTGTCGGCCGTCGGCAACGACTCCAACGGGCACTCAATACTGAACAACAATCCATTGAAAGTACAGTTTGATTACGAAAATTAAAATAATATTCAAACAAAAATAGCTATAAAAGCGGCGATTGTGTGCTCACAGAATCCCAAAGGCGTTCTCATATCGGAGACAATACCCACCTCTTCGTGCAGTGTTATAATGGACGGGAAGGGCGAGTGCGGGCTTTTAGTCGGCGACATGAGAGCTCATCAGTTAATTACTAAACAACATGTAATACATTCTTGTAATTAAAAAAGAGATATTCAATACGAATATTGGTCTAATAAATATATATATAAATTTTTAATTGTATTAAAAGTTATTTGTCTGTATATATGAATAGGTATCACAATTCAATGATGACATCTGTAGTGCACCGATGGTTATCATTGACGCCAATATTCCATTGGAGACAACGCTCTATACATTGCATTTGTGTGCAAACTATGGTATTCCGGGTGAGTGTCTCTCTCTTAAGTTATAATTGTATCAAACGTTTCGTAAAAAGTCTTCAACAATTCAAATGCTAATTATTGCCGTAAATATTGCATAAGTGGTGCGGAATTATAAGTTTGATTTGTTTAGTACAGTATATAATTGCCATAAGTTATCGGTAATATGTGTTAAGATATGTATATATTTAGTACGAAATATATATACAGTAATGGGTTTTAAACTTCAGAGAAGTGTGTCTGTCGTTCGGACTTTCTCTTTAAAGGTATCGAATCGTATGCATCATTCGGTGCCCTAAACGTGGGAATTACAGGGAAACACACTATCAGTGAAAAACAGTTATTCAATCAATGTTTGCTTATTTTAAATGATGAGTAAAAAGTTATTTTGAATTTTTAAAAGCAATTCTTTAATATTTTATAAAACAAGGACTCGTTCTCAACGAAATAAAAAACACTTATAAATAACATACGAAAGTAATTGTCTTTTTAAAAATCATATAAAATTATAAATAAATACGAATTGAATCATGAAATGATTGAAATTTCGTAACTAAACGCGAAACAAACATAAAAGTTATAAAGAATTGCATTTACTTTTCATTTTATTAATTATTAAACAAAAGCTAAATATAAGTGAAAACTAAATATGAAAATGAAATAAAAAAGAGATGCAAAATAGTTGGTAATAATAATAAATGGCATTAAATGGTGGCAACAATTAGTATGTGATATATGTTATGATCATTAAAACCTGGGCTGCATATTGTACACCAAATTCGTCAACTTTTGCTTTCTCTCGCGTGTCTTAAATGTCTCGTATAGTAACAGAATGGACGCAATCATGTGAAGTACAGTGGACAGGATGGCCACATAGAAAGCCCAGTCCAAGTGGTTGTACATGGGATACAACAGCCATCCCCTGTCGGAGTGCATTATACTGAACACCAGCCAACCCAAGAATAACGGAACCGCTATATATGCAGATAGAAATTCGTTGAATCACTTATCGTACGAGTGTTTGTTTGAATAATGAGGGGAATGGGAGCACTTACTGGCGCACACTTCCATGAGAAATGCCGACCCAATCACTGCAATGATATATCTATTGAAGAAATACATGATTGTTATGCTGATTGTGACCAAAGTTAGCGTCGAGAATATGAGTGCAATGCATAGCATTCCCTGAACGAACATAAACCAGCCTATAGTCAAGCCATACATACAAACACACAAACAATTGTATAATTAATTAGTCGGCAACTGATAACTTATCTCTGACTGTCGGTTAACACCAATCATAACACTTAAATTATTACCATTTATGACACAAACGTACAATTTGTTTATCATATCAGCAACACTTATGATTGGAGTTTAGCGGACAAATGAAACTGAACCTGGTAATCAGGCAAATACATACCCGGTTGCAACCAATCTCTGATATTCTGGTATTTGGAGCTATATATCCAGTGACAGCCATTGAACACTTCATCGTATTGATAGGGCGGGTGTCTGACCAACAAATCAAGAGTCAAATTAATAAATATACCACAAATATGTATCATAATTATCAGTTGATTGACTCTCGCATACCTGTACCGATCGAAACAGAAATCCCAGAGACCTGTCGGACAAACAAAAATATCAAACTTATTAATAATGGTGTCAACCGGTAATCAACTGGTAATTTGTGGTCAACTAGTGATTACAGACCGAGTCTCACAAATGATGAATACGTGTATTTGTGTGATGATAACCAGTAGGGACTGGCGAATGATATGATTAGCGTGATTAAGGCTAACAGTGCCACATAACTGGCCACTATTAGTGTGTAGGAAGTTTTGAGGCGATATTTGGGCGGAATATCACTCATACGACTACTTCCACCGCTTATGGTCGACATGTTTGCCGTGTTTCAGACAATTTCAAACTAAATGACAAACAAAATGAAACTTTAAACCAACTTTTATCGCGAACAGAGTTTTGTGTGGAAAGGCATCCCTGAGCGCCACAGGAACGCCGCCCCACCCATTAATGCCAGCATTTTTAATATTCACTTCAAGTCAATATTTGTACGCAAAATATGCTACTTTTATCGATACATACCTATCATTGGGTGCAATATATGCAATCCGATCGACGATTCTGGGGATATGTCTCGGTTTGCACACAAAATAACAATAATATTCTTCTTTGTCTTAGGGTTGAGATAATATTTTTGAAAACAAACTCAACACAAATAAGTTTGGTTTGGTTTCAGTTGAGTTATGTCCGCATCGTTTGCGCAGACCTTATGTCTCGCTAACACATGTAATATGGTATCCAGTGATGAGAGTGGAGGCGCTCTCGTTATTACCTGTAAAGGTGTGCATTCAATGCATTCAATGCATTCGCTGTGTGTTAAGCCCTGCCGCCAATGCACGCAATGTTGCCATGAATTTTCAATCAAACTTTTTTTTGTCAATCATTTATTAATACCTATTCAATGTTGTTGATATTAATTCCCCTAAAAATGTTTATTATTTTAATATTGTTTGATATAAATGAAAACTCCTATGAAATTTGATAATAGAAAGCACTTTTTTGGTTTAGCCCCAAAAACTTTAATGTAATAAAATTACATTTTAAATTACATTAAATAAATTTATGTAAAAATTCTTTGCCATCAGTTCACACAATAAAAAACGAAATGATAGCTAAGCTATAATTTTGAAGTCTACTGTAGGTCTGGTAATTCATTTCAAATTCCTGTATTTAGATTGAATTTCATACATTAACTTCCATACATGAGTTATATTCATATATTAAATTAGAGGCAAACAATCATTATATTTGATTACTTAACAAATATTTTGCGAAATGAAAAATATTTACCCAAAAAATGTCAAATTTACAAAAGACAACTTTCCTACTCGCTATCATTCATTACTTGTCAGTGAATAACTAAAATTTAATAATAACTCACTGCGTGTACAAAATACACCAACTAATGGCCTATTATAATAGGTTTGAGTTTATTTAATCACTTCACTAATCAGACGAATTGCGCAAATATTATATGAATTTAAATGTGAAGTAATTTTGAGAAAAAAAAGTAAACGATCGGTAAATATATGCATAAATGTTCTGAAAGCAGATTTCGCAACAGAATATTCAAATGGCTTTTGCTTAGAGTTTTGTTGCCTTAACTACTAATTTATATAATACACAGTATAATATAATATATATAATGTATAATAGTATTGCAAAAACATTTCTCGACTGAAAAACACTATCTGTTGCACAACTCATATAATGTTTCGCAACTCTGACTATCGTTTGACTGCTTCTTGAGTTCACGAGAAATACATTTCAATTATATTCTCCGGCAAACAGTTATCGTTAAGAGTAATACTTTCTTTTGGTGCTTCAGATGTGCTGTCGTTTCTGTCGTCGTTTCATACAAATTGGTTTCTCAATATAACTTAAAACCCAAAAACATATTCTTTTGATTTGATTCAATCACAAATGCCTTTTAATTTGGACTTTTATTTCGATTCATTACTATCGTATTAATAATGATATAATGATTTTGTATGGAATAGAGTCTGTTTTCCATATGACAAGTGTTCACAACTGTGTCTACACTTATTTAAAGCTTATGTGAAATATTTCACAACATTTTTCAAAAACTTGTGTCGCAATTCTGGTATTGATTGCAAATATTGTATGAGTTATATATAAAATACATTATATAGTGAGAGAAAAAGTACAGTATATAAGACACCAAATGCAACAACAAATCAGATTTTCGACAAATTTCAGTCAATATGAACCGAGTAATTATGACTTCTATGGATGCGGTGACAAACCAATTGACTTCGGATTCAATTATATGAAAAAGTATAGCAACGATAATAGCGCTAATAATGGCACGAATTGTGGTGCTGTGAACATACCTCACCAGTCAATGGATACCTCTTTTAGTGACGAACCGTCCACTTCTCAGTCATCGCAGGACAAAGTGATTCACAGTAAGGGCGACACCAAAGACGGCCCCAAATGTACGGAAGACTACAAACAGAAGCGCGAGAAAAACAATATCGCTGTCAGAAAGAGTCGAGAAAAGGCTAAAAAGCGGCTGAAATTAAATGAAATGCGAATTAATGAACTGATGGGAGAGAACGAACAGCTCAAGAATCGGGTGGAAGTCATGGCCAGAATCGTGGGCGGACTCCGACTATTGCTCACCACTTTTGGATACTCTGACTCCAGAATCGATTCAGAAGTATCCAAAACTTTGTCACAACACCACAAGAATTAATGTGTTTTTTTGTTAATCAAAATAACTTACTGTATATTCTATAAGAAAAGGTATTTTCATATATAGGCAGAGATGAGAGAAGATATTTATTATTTATTATTAGTATAGAAATTTGTTAATAATTAATACATTATGTTATAATATGAATACATTCCTATAATTCATAATTCATTCTTATTTATATATTTATTATTCAAAAATTTAAGTCCAGATTTATATGATTTAATGTGAATATTCCTAAATATTGTTGAATATTCCTGGTGTACACAGAATAATCACAGTATAACACAGAGAATATCAATTGAAACAACATGTATCAACGTTTGTCAGGAAAATCGATTTATTTATAAATAACTTATTCTACGGAAAAGTTTGTGTTATAGAGACCAACACTATTGCGAAACATAAATTACTGTATAACTATAAAATTACTATAAGTCTAATATGATAAGTGATGTGATGTTTAAAATTATTTTATAATATTCTTGACTAAAATATAATTGATTTTATATGTCGGATATAATTACTGTACAGTCTATTACTTTCTAAATAATTTTTGTTGTTATCTATTCGTTGAGCGCTATTCTGAATAAATTCTCATTAAAGTAATGATAAGAAATTACAGGTTTTTGTGCAATTCATTTGAATACTGAAACATAATTAAGGTATCATGTTTGTGGTCAAATCACTGCTGTTTATACAGCAAATAAAACAAACAAAGCGTTTAAATGTTAAAAAGTTTTATATATTTTTATTGAGATTCTAATAATCAATTCGCTTGAATTGTCGTTGTATTTACAAATAGAGTCATAAAACTAGATATAAGTGCAACTCTATCGTTAATAATAACATTTAATAATTAAATGCATAATTGATTTGACGTTTAAATTATATAAAAAGTGCAAAAATGGTATAAAATATCAGAAGTTGTTTCAAATCCAATGACTTCTTGTAAAACGATAAATGATTTTTAAGGTATTATTCGATGCGAAGGACGGAATGCTTTTGATTAACAGATTATGATTTATAAAACAAATACAGAGCTCTTGGGTTTGCACTTCGCGGACACATCCAAAAAGGTGCTGTTCCTCCCGTTCCTCGTGATTATGCCTTGATATTAGTTGGCTCTAAATTAAACATTTGTTGCTCGCGTTTCAACTCTTTCTTATACAATATGCGACTCTCGGCCCAGAATAGTATGGCTGACATCCACTCGAAGAACACGCCGACCACTGCCAGCCCGTACGACCACGAGAGGAAGTTGTGATCGTGGTCTGGCATCCAGTCCCTGTCGTCCCCTCGGATACCAAATATAATGACTGCGATTGTCGTGAAGAGGGCTGCGGAAACACACACAGGAAATGATTGTCTCGTTAATTATAATTGCATTTATGGTGCCGTCGAGCGAGTGGTTGTCATACCGGCCAAAAACATTGTGATTGACAGCACTTTCATCGCAAATATCTCCCTCTCGATGACGAAACATAACTGAATGGCCAGAACTCCGATACAGGCGACCAACAAGAATATGAATCCTATTGTGTATAACACTTGAGTGGCGATGAAGAACGCTATTCATGCGAAACAAATGATACAACAAATTATTAATCAAATTATTTTTATAATCATTTATAATATCTGTCAAAATAGCCAATATATACAATGTATAAAAATTAAGATTCAGTTCATTGAGTATTGCAAATGCTTCACAAAACAAAATACAAGAATAAGTTATAATGGAAACAATAGTATCGCAAGAATATCATACATGGCATCAATAGGTGTCTAATATTATAGTATTCATCGGCGAATATCCAGCGACAGCCGGAGTAATACTTTGTCAGATCATAATCGTATGGATTGTGATAACTCCTGAAACACGTCTCCCAAAGACCTAACTTAACGAAGTTTGCGCCGTAGAGGCGTCGGTCGGAGGCCAACCAGTTGGGGGTCACGAACGCAATGAACGTGGATATGGAGCAAATGGCAGTGACGACCAGGGCTACGACCCTCGCGTCCGACATACGTATACGCTCTGACATCACTTACAACACCCTATTATCACCAAAACCCTGTCCTATACTTTGAACACATTCAGTGGTATATCGGCACTATTCACACCACTCTATCACTAATGCCTATTCAATAGTCATATGCATCCAAACAATCACTTATCGGACGAACTATTGTTTGTCACAAATTATATATATTTTTATGAATGAGATTCAAAGGGAAATAGTCGTCATCTTTACGGTTAGGACATATTTGAACGCCTTTTTGCCTCTTATTACTTGTTTTCGCTTAGAAAAGTCATGGAAGTATAGGTACTGCCAGAGCACAGGTAACCGACGCCCTAATGCTTATAGGAATACCTGAATGGCTTATTCCACTTCTCACTAAAGGTATTCCCAGTGTTTGGCGAGTCGTATATGAATTTATAATTAATGACAGTTTGTGTAATACAAACACATTATATATATATAAACAACAATTAAGGCTTCATCGCAAACCAAACACCAATTCATGTCAATTGTAAAATGAAATGTACGCTCAAAATGAGATTCACTGCAACTATTTGATCGTTTCATATAAAAAGTCCACATTTTATTTCACCAAAGAATGCGTAAACAATGCCATACTTTCACCCAATTTACTGAAATTTGAGACACAATTCACATCTCAATCCATAAATACATTCACTTATGTCTAGAATTTCCTAATTTATGACTCGATTTGAAAGCTTTTCGCTGCGATTCCTTCAATACATTACACTATCTATCAATGAACCAAATCTTAAGAGAAAAAAACTTTTCGCACAAATAATAAGCAATGAACCGATCATTTGGTGGTAAACGCGAGACACCAATAACATAGAGCTCATGAGTGAATGGATACATACGGGGCTCCAAGAAGTCCAATAGGAAGGCGTAGTCCTCATCGAAAAGCCATTTACAGCCGCGAAACTCGCGGTCGTAGAGATAGTTGACGTCCCGGAAGGTGTAAAAGCAGGCCTCCCACAGACCCAACTTCTCGAACCTCTTGATGGGCTGCCGATTGTCTGCGACCAACCAATTGGGTGTCGAGAAGGCGATGATCGTGAAGATGGCCGTCAGGAACGTGAAGATCGCCGCATAAGTGACCGCTCGGACGGACGTCACGTCCACTTTGAGCACAAATTTGCGCATAAAATCAGTCATTCTTGTGGTGAATGAGAAGTTTTTGGCGTAACTTTTGGTGATAATAATTGTGACAATATTTGAAAGACAGACAACTGTTACGACAATTTGGGTCAAAAACACGCGTTTAACTCATTTGTCGTCAAATCAAACACTTTGAGTGATGAGAAGCGCCAAAGAAGTGGAGTACGAGAGAGATAATGGTGTGGAAGAAGATGTTTAACTCATTTTAATACTCCAATTGGGTGTACAAGACATACAGATACCATTGAATCCAGTGCTCAGACACCGCATGAGTCTCTCGAGACAATCGCTTAATTCAATTGCACTACACTTTAGGATGGATTCACACCTTATTATGACTATACCTGTGATTGTGATTCAGTTGAATGAATGCACAGCCATTTGAATTGCATTGTATGTAATGCCAGAATGACGTCAACCTGAGCATACCTGAGCCTGAATACAGCCTACAAACCAATGCCCTCGACGTTGGAGAGCGAGTGTAAAGTCCAGGAGAATATTTGCCGGACTTTCAAATTCATTCAATTAATTCTCGTCATTACCTCCTCATTTACCACCAGTTTTAACACCATTTATAGACTAGTTTTTACTCAATTTAATCCACAGATAATGTTAATTATTATAAGAATATTGTTATTGCAATGAATGGTAAAAAGATTGTCAAAACATTTCATAACAATTATCACATATTCTACACATTCTTACGATTCATTTGAATCAGTTTTGACACAAAACTTTTATAGAAGAGAAGAGTTTGCGTTGAATTGAATTCACAAATACAGTATAATTGGGTTTATTTGAAACAAACAATTAGTAAACTATAAGAATATTCTGTATTAAATAGTGTACCAAAAGTTTTATCACATATTCTGTACATTCTTACGATTGATATGGACATCAATTGCTAATTATAACCGTTTGTATCCCTTATAACTCTTCGGGCAAAGTATGGTACGAACCGACGGATATCAACGTGTGTTCAGACATATTCACGTCAACCGACCCCAACCCCCACCCGGACTACCGGTGCCTTATGTGGATGTCTCCCAATTATTACGAATTGCAAACCATTTTCAACCACTTGTTCCCCAACCGGAAGCAGACCATCGCTCACGACATCAATGATATGGCCGTCGAGACACTCATCTCCTCGTGTCACGACATGTGCGGACACATAATGGCCAACCATTTCCACACTATTGTCGTCACTCTCGGCAAGTTTGGGGTCTGTCTTGTGTCCAAGTGTTCCGCACATCACTCCATCCAATTGGGACCCAATTCACCGCTCTTTCATGTATTCATCAAATAATTAGTTAACAATTGCTTCTTAACGCCAATTATGTGTCAATAGAGTCCACAATCGGATGGACTGCATGTGAGTCATTGGCCACAAGAAGACGTGGGCCAACACGTGGTGAACGTCTCGGGAGCGGGAGATTCGTATGAATTGAAGGCCTATTCAATGCAACCATTCATTCATTGCTTTCTAACCACTCATAGGTTGGCCTCGGCTATCATCTGCGGCCTTATCGGTGGTCACTCTATGGCCTCGAGTGTGGTGTGGGGTCTAAGAGCTGCCAAACTATCACTTCTGTCGCCACTGACTATACCGCACACTATAACTCATATCTAATTAAAATACAAATGACTTATATGAATAAAACTCGTCAACTCAACTCAGTTTAACTGACTGTCAGTCACTAAAAAGTTTTCAACACTCATTCACACCACCAGAGGGTGTCATACATAACACATACTCTACATATGCTCACAAATACTGTTACCGTTGATAGGGAATAGTTTCCTAATCTTTCACATTTTGTATGCAAAGGGGGCCGCGGTTTGAGTCGATTGTAACGGCATGTGTGAGTGGGACCGGTGTATAGCGTTTCCATTGAACCAATGATTGTCTCATTTCTTGTGCATTACTTCAAACAAAACATTTACTGAATGTATGTTTGAGTTGTGTTTTAGTCATTCAGTCATTGCTTCACACATTGAGTCCACTCTAACGACCATTCATTCACTCATTAATCGCTTATTTGTGTGCAATTAGTGGACATTTTTGACTCATTTGTGCGCAAACTGTGTGTCTATTGAGTGGTGAGTGTACTGACAGTGACATCACGTCTCACGACAATCACAGACACATCCACTCAACCATTGCTCGCAATTATCTGTTGAATAGGTTTTGGACACCAAATGCTCGCTGAGAATGTCGTCTTCAGTCTCGTACCACATCTCCAACCTCTTGGAAAAGGTATTGATCGCATGTCTGACCACTCGTTGTGGCCACAACTGCCTGACCATTGCTCACACGTGTGTCGGCACACTGTCTCTCACCCCCACCGCAGATGACGTCGACCGACAAGGACTTCCGCTTCATGGCCACCAACGACCTGATGTGCGAACTCCAGAAGGACTCCATTAAACTGGACGACGACTGCGAGAAGAAAGTGGTTCGGATGCTCCTCAAGCTCTTGGACGACAAGAACGGAGAGGTGCAGAACCTGGCCGTCAAGTGCTTGGGTCCGCTCGTCAACAAAGTGAAGGAGATTCAGGTCGAGACCATTGTGGACACCCTCTGCTCCAACATGATCTCCAACAACGAGCAGCTGCGCGATATCTCCAGCATTGGGCTCAAGACAGTCATCTGCGAGCTGTCGCCCCACTCGACGGCGTTGGTGTCCACCATCTGCAAGAAGATCACCGGCCGGCTTGCGAACGCCATCTCACAGGTGAGCGCATCCGTTGCGCCGACACTCTTGTTGTTGTCGTCTCGATCTAACGGCGCGTTTTGTTTGTCACTCCCAAAGCACGACGATATGGGTATACGTCTGGAAGCGCTTGAGATACTGTCGGACCTACTGAACCGATTCGGCAGTCTTTTGGTCTCATTTCACGCCAACATTCAGGACTCACTCATTCCGCAGCTGTTGTGCCAACGGCTGGCCGTCCGCAAGCGGGCCATCACTGCCCTCTCGTACCTAACGATGTGTTGTTCGCAGGCGTTGTATAACAGAGTCATTGAGTTTCTCATCGAAGAGTTATCCGCAAACGTCAGTGACATCAACAACGCCAAGACATACATCCAATGCATTACAGCCATCAGCCGGCAGTCGGGCCACCGGTTCGGCGAACATCTCGAGCGAGTGATGCCTTTAATCAGTCGTTTCGCGTACCTGGAGGTGAAGGACAAGAAGCAGGAGGACGGCGACGAACTCAAGGAAGTGTGTCTTCAGGCGTTCGAGTCGTTTGTGCGGAGATGTCCTAAAGAGATATCAACACACGTGCCGACTGTGAGACCCATTGTCACTGTCTCTGAGAGTTATTCTCGACTTTTGTTTTTTTCATTTTCTCCCAAAGATCACAAACGTTTGCCTCAAATACTTATCTTATGACCCGAACTATAACTACGATTCCGACGGCAACGACGACGAGGACATGGAAATGGATAACGAGGACGAAGAGGCCGACACCGACGGCTCGTACAGCGACGACGACGACATGAGTTGGAAAGTGAGACGCGCGTCGGCCAAGACGTTGGAGGCGTTGATATCGACGCGACACGAACTCATTGCCGACTTCTATCGCAAAGTGTCACCGGAATTGATCCAAAGATATAAAGGTATAGACTTATAGACGAATGAGTGAATTGTGGGACAAATGAATGAATGACTGAAATACTCGACACTTGCAGAGCGCGAGGAGAACGTAAAGGTCGACATATTTAACGCATACATAGCGCTACTGAAACAGACGCGAACACTGGTGGGTAGTGGTGGCGGCGGCGGTGGGGCGACCGGCGGGTGCGACAACTCGTCGGAGTACTCGTCGCACATCTCGACGATAGTTCGAGAACAGGTGCCTTCGATAGTGAAGTCTCTGCACAAACAGCTCCGCGAGAAGAGCATCAAAACACGGCAGAGTTGTTTCCTACTGCTCAGCGAATTGGTGAACGTATTGCCCGGTGCTCTCACCGAACACATCTCGAACCTGATCCCCGGCATACTCTACTCATTGAGGTAATGGTGTCTGAATGTGGTGTCACTGTTTGGGTTCAACTGAATGGTTGTGTTTTATCAGTGACAAGAATTCGAGTTCAAACATGAAGATCGATACGTTGGCCTTCTTGAACACTGTGCTCAAGAATCACAGCCCAGAGGTGTTCCACAAACACATTCACATACTCTTGCCGGCGGTGATCAATGCCGTGTCGGACACCTTCTATAAGATCACGTCCGAGGCGTTGCTCGTGTTGACACAAATCACGAAAGTTATCCGACCGTTGGGTCAGTGCTGTGACACTCATTTGAGTGCATATTCTTGTCGTGTATTTTGTATTGAATTCTTGCATTCGTTTGACAACAGAGACGAACGCGAACTCGACTTTCAATTTCGTGCCATTCATTAAACCGATATATGAGTCGACTTTTGCGAAGCTAAAGGCCGCTGACATCGACCAGGAGGTGAAGGAGAGGGCCATCACTTGCATGGGACAGATAGTGTACACATTCGGCGATCACATGCAATCGGAACTGCAGGTCAGCCTTCCTTTACTATTGGATCGGCTGAGGAATGAGATCACGCGACTCACCTGTGTTAAGGCCATCACCAAAATCGCAAGGTTTGCACCCCATATACGCCCTCCCACTGGATCTCCGCTCAGACCATAACTCACTTTATTTTGATGAACTTTCAGTTCGCAATTCAAACTCAATTTGAATCCATTACTTCCCGAAGCGTTTCCAGTGTTGGCCTCATTTCTACGTAAGAATCAAAGGGCACTCAAACTGAGTTCACTGCAACTCATCGACACTTTGGTCAAAAACTACCGTAAATTTGATTTTTATTTATTGATTTCATGTAGAAAATTGTGTTAATTTAATTACATTTTTGTTGTCACACTTCAGGAGATTATTTAAGTTCCGAAACGATTGGAATTATTCTGAACGAAGTGCCGCCTCTTATCAATGAATCTGATCTACACATCTCTCAGGTATTTGTCCCAAAAATAGCGATTCAAACGCAGATTACCTGAAATGTGTGAACCATTTGACAGTTGACGCTAAATATGTTGACTTCACTGATTCGCTCGCATTTGGCGTTTCTGGCGATAATACCGCAAACAATACTACCGGAGGCCCTGGTGTTGGTGCGGTCGCCGCTACTGCAGGGGTCGGCCCTCAACTCGATGCTCGAGTTCTTTCAGGCCATCGTTCAAAACAGTTTTCCCGGTTTGGATTACGACGAACTGGTTCTCCGACTCACGCAACCCATCACTCAACCCAATCGCAACCAAACGCTACACAAACAGGCGTTCCATTCGATCGCCAAATGCATGGCCGCCGTCTCTGTCATCGACGAGAGGCGGGCCATCGGCGCCGTCCAGCAGCTCATGAGCGACATCTGCGCCCAACGCGACTCCGACGCCATACAAGTGTTCGCTCTGTTGGCCATCGGAGAGATCGGAAAGACTGTGGATTTGAGTGGCGTTAAAGAGCTGAAGAATGTGATTATGGAGTCGTTTAACTCGACGTCCGAAGAGGTGAAGTCTTCGGCCTCTTTCTGCTTGGGATCCGTTTCGGTCGGAAATCTGGAACAGTATTTGCCGTTCGTTTTGTCCGAAATACAGAACCGCCAGAAAAGGCAATACTTGTTATTACATTCACTCAAAGAGATCATTAGCTGCCAGTCGGCGAACCCGCAGACCATTCGCGTATTGGAACCCCATTTGGACTCTGTTTGGAAACTACTGCTCAACCATTGCGAGTGTCCCGAAGAGGGCACCCGTAACGTCGTGGCCGAGTGTTTGGGTAAACTGACGCTCATAGACCCCACACACTTGTTGCCACTTCTGCAGCAATACCTGCGCTCGGAGTCACCGCTGGCCAGGAGTACAGTCGTGACGGCCATGAAGTTCACGATCTCGGATCAGCCCCAGAGGATCGACTCACTTCTGCGCACATCGATCGGCGACTTCCTGAAGACACTGCAGGACCCGGACATCAACGTCCGACGGGTGGCGTTAGTGGCCTTCAATTCGGCCGCACATAACAAACCCTTACTTATCAGAGACCTATTGAACTCAATATTACCCCAACTCTACAACGAGACAAAAGTCAGGGTAAGTATCCCCTCACTTCCCACTCTCGCACCTACTGTCTGAGCATTTATTTGATGGAATCGTTTGCAATGGTTTTTACAGAAAGAGCTGATCCGTGAGGTAGAAATGGGCCCCTTTAAGCACACCGTCGATGACGGTCTCGATATCCGGAAAGCGGCCTTCGAGTGTATGTACACATTGTTGGACTCATGTCTCGATCGGATCGATATTTTCGAGTTTCTCAATCACGTGGAGGATGGCCTCCGCGACCACTACGACATCAAAATGCTTACATACCTTATGTTAGTCAGACTGTCGACACTCTGCCCATCGGCTGTTCTCCAGCGTATGTCCCCATACTTGCCATACATTTCCCTTTCAGTGCTAATTATTCTGTGAAATTAACGACAGGATTGGAAGGACTGGTGGAACCGCTGAAGAGCACGTGTGCCGCCAAAGTGAAGGCCAATGCCGTCAAACAAGAGGTCGAGAAACAGGACGAACTGAAACGCTCAGCGATGAGAGCTTTTCTCGCATTACTGGCCGTCCCCGACGCCGGTATGTCTTATTGTTATGCGACACTCCTTTTGGAACTTATTTCATAATCGATTGCTTTATATTTATAGACAAAAACATGTTGATGACTGACTTCTTGGCCCAAATCAAGTCCGCAGCCGACCTATCGGTGCTCTACGACACTATACAGAAGGACTCGACTGTCGCTAACGATATACCAATGGATTGCAACTGAAGATCGCATTTGGAATCCATTTGTTTTACGATATATTTTAAACGCTTTCTCTAATGTTTGTAAACCTAACCTAATTTTATGTTCAATAAAAACTTTAATATAATTATTGCCTGAATACAGTATAAATATGGAATTCACTGGAAATGATATAGAGATAACTGGCAAAAGCAATGCATAAATCGTTTTATTTGATAACAAAATATATAATTTTAATTAAAAACTAATTCAACTACGGATTAGTGTTTAATGGCATTCAGAATGTGTTTGGCGCCCGACTCTATCAAACTCTGCGCCAATTCATAGCCAACTATTGCACTGTTTCTCAACCGATTGATAACTGTGTGGTCAGTCATCTGACTGATGGCAATGCCGGTGTAATTGAAAGGACAGCCGGTGTTGTCTATATTAGCGTTTACTAACTTGTCGTCCAAATCGATGGTAATCTTATTGTCCACTTTCTGGACGCCATCCACGCTCAGCACAACACCCTCCAGTGTCAACAGCCAACGATTGTCTTCGTTGTGGTCATTGGCACCGGTATTCCACGAGCTCCTGACCCCTATGGGCACTGAACAGCCGCCCTCTAACTGTTGCATAAAAGTCCTTTCGGCCAAACATTCATAAGTGGCCCTCAAGTCGATCATAGGCTTCAGCAGATCCATTGTGGCCGTATCGCCAGCCCTGGTCTCGATGGCCAGCGCTCCCTGTCCTACGGCGTAGAACCAGTCGTCCCATAACTGACCGGATATCCTGTCGTTGAACTCTAGTCGCTTGAGTCCGGCCGACGCCAGAATGAGCGCCGAATAGCCGCTCGACTGGGCGTCCAGTTTGGCGAGTCTTGTGTTGAGGTTTCCTCTCATGTCTGCGATCTTTATCTCCGGATTTAATCGCTTTAATTGTGCGATTCGTCGCAATGATGACGTGCCTATCGTTCCCCCAGTGGTGTCCAGCAGTACGTCAAACGGATTGTCCAAATGGAGGCCCGACTTCAATACTATGGCATCGGACGGGTGTTCGCGTCTGTCAATCAAAGTTCAATCATTAGTTAAATATATAATACATTTTTGCATCACATCTTGTTTTTAAGATAATACACAAATTGTTTAAAGTTATAAAAACTAATTGTAATACTGTACAATATTCTCTTATTAAAAAATTATTTTTATCTAAAACTTATTTTTAAAATCAATTCTATCACAAAATATTTTTAAAACTTTCAAAAATGTTAACAAAATTATCAGTTCTTATAATAATCTGTTTCTAAACATATCAGGGAAACACCTTATCATAAAAAACTTGACATATAATCAAAAACTATCTTTAAATTACACACATTTCTTCAGAACCTAAAGCACTTAATAGTAATTAATATGTTTTATAAAAATTATATTTAAATCAAAAAATATTTCGCTTGAAAACCATTTCTCATAACTTGGATGAGTCGCTAAAATTGTCGTTCATATGAACGGAAGTTTGCAAACATTTTATTTAACAAACAAATTGCAAACAATAAAGTATTGATTTTAAACATAAAACCAAAATTAAACAACACTTATGCGGGGAATGTGGGGAAAGGGTGTCTGGACTGAGACTCCCGGTGCTGAGTCACGGACACGGATTAGTCCACAAAAAAGAGATAAAACAAAAAGAGTGGTAAAAGTGAAGGTAAAGAGTGAATACTTGGTGACGGCGGCGATCACACATCCCTCGGGCAGAGTTGTTGGCAAATCCTTGAGGGAGTGGACGATCACATCGATTCTGTGGTCCAGGAGCTCAGCCTCCAGTTCCCGAGTAAACAGAGCCTTCTCGCCGATCTTCGCCAGAGGAATGTCGTGTATATTATCACCCGTTGTGCTCATTGTCTTGATGGTGAAGGCATACTTGTGCTGTCCGTACACCTCCTGGAGCCGTGTGACCACCGATTCCGTCTGAATCACAGCCAATCGACTCTTCCGGGAACCGATTCGCACAGTCCTCACGGTATCATCGCTTTGGACACTATTGTCGCCCATTAGTTCCCAACAGATTAGACACACGTCTCAATAGTTTGACACTCTTTTGAACACAATTTACGAAACGATTTCTCAATTAATAATGAATTGAATGGTAGTTCACATCAAAACATATTTAACGCAAAGTTTTACACACTTTTGGATCGCAAAGCGTGTGTTGAATGGAGTGAGAGATTAGAGAGAATTGAAAACAAGTTTTAAAAGTCATATCATTTTGAGTGCATTTCTCGCGACATTCACAACACATTCAATGCGAGAGAAAACATATTTTGCTGTACTTTTCGTCACTGCAATACTACCCATACTATTATGAGGGGTCACCACAACACAGGGGGTCATGAGATAGGTGGTCCCACCAGTTTGTCTCCCAATTTGCATTCAATTGTTTATTTTAGAGATTATCGTAAACACACTTTAAATAATATTAAGATTATTTGTGTTGAATTGTATGCATACCTGTTATTACCGTTATGTGAGCTAAATGTATGTCATGGAAACCCTGGTCATTGCAATCATCCATTAAAAACTACATTATTAATTAGAAAAAAGTTTTGAAATTGTAGTTTTAAACTTTTTATTTGACTTATTTTAGTTTTCTAATTGATTTACTTTTTTTGTGTTTAAAGTTATGTTCAAATAGTTACACCATTTTTAACATTATATTCAACAGAACAAACATTTCTCTCATATTTGCAAAAAATTAAAACATTTTTATATCAATAGAAAAATGATTGAAATAAATTTATCAATACTCTATAACCCAAACACTATCTCATAATTGATTAGTTAAACTTATAAATCGATCACATCATTACAAAATCAAATTCAGTATAAAGCCATTGAGGGAAAGGGATATTATAACTGCTTTCCCATAATTTCATGATTTATATGTTAAGTGTTGCCAACAAATTATAATAAATAATTTTCGGTCAAAATTGACACTTATATTAAGCGCTCTCACAGTATATTACAGGTATTAAATGACATACAGGTGTACAATATGTTTAAAAATATATAACATTCAATTGTAATTAATTTTTATTTCCAGTTATACATTAATATTATCCTATGTCTTATTGAAGTCTACAAATATTTATAGTTTTTCACACAAACTATCTATAAATTTATACAAATAAATAGATATAATTTTTAAACTCATTTCATGGTTACATTGAACACAAGCACTCAGTTATTGCATAATGGCTTAGATTTTCGGTCGAAAAATCTGTTAAATTAAAAATTATTTGTAAAATCTTTAATTCAAATATCATATAAAAGAATTGAATCCTAATTAATAATACAATAGCTGTTTATGGCATGTGTTTTGCCAATAATTGATTGCTTGTGTTCAAAGTGTTTCAGTAATTATTTATCACTGAATAAGTGTTAGAAAACAAAATACAATTAAATGTATGCGATATTACTTTCTATTAGAAGTGGCAAATGTCATGACGGGGGGTCGGGAGTGGGGGTCAGTACTACTAACTACATGCCTTAGTAGTGACTTAAGTTTTGAATAAGTTTTTTTTATTATAAGTTAATAGCCCCACAAATCCGACTTTATTTTGTTCATTACTTTCATTTAGTGTGATATTAGGTTCAAATTTGATAGTAAATGTCTAGTTAGCGAAGGGTGTAATTACCTGGACAATAATTTTTGTACACAATTTTAGATTAAAATTCAAAGCATTACAATCTATGGACAAATGAGTTATATCAGACAAACTTATATTATAAAATGGGTTAATATGAAAACCAATGTACAGTAAATGCCTTTCAATGTAGAATGTATTTTCTATGTTAGAAAAAATTAAAAGTAATTTTATGAAAATAATGCAAATTTAATCAACTTTTCTGAGATATTTGTTCGGAAGTTATGCTAATTGTCATGATTTCTAGTGATTCAGTAGTTTTGAGTATTAAAAATATATTTTCTTACAATTATGATAACATTGCAAATAAAAACCTAATATTATTTCATGTCTACTTGACTCGACCGCTATTTGTCCTGAGCCGGGATACCTGTCCGGTGCTGGTGTCCTGAACCCTCCCATTCTTCCTGAGCTGTTCCCTTCTCTTCCAATTCGCCAAACGTTTTCTCAACAAATCTCCCAAATATTCGTTCCAATTGTCCGGAAGTAAGACAACCATAAACCCAAACAATATCAACACAACTCCGCTTAGCTTCATGTCTTGGAAAACAGACTTATATATCAATGTGTCGATCACTGAAACAAAAACACACATAATAATCACATACAAACTTAATTAAAATTCTTGAGATGTAAAACAAAATAATATTTTATAGTTTATTTATTTATAGAATGGAATTTTAAATTTTGAGAGTTTTTATAATAGCCTTATAATGAGATAATATGTGTCATCAATAAATTATTACCGGAAGATATAGGAATCGCGAAGAATATTCCGAGATTTAGGAACAGCTCATACGTCCAGGCGATACCAAAATTGCCTAAAATATTGGCTAATAATAAAAGAGCCGCAGAACCGGTGAGTGTTGTCCACGGAATCTGCGACCAGACTATGGTTTCGGCGCCGAATAAATACAACAACAGAATCAAAGGCCACATAAGGAATGCATTCATTAAACCCATTAATGTGAAGAATAGTGACATTTGTGCGAAAGTCGTGTAACCAATCGTTCGCTTAAAAAATACCTATAATTTGATCGTAAAAATTATAAACATTATTTTCTTAACATATATTTTAAAACTCATTTAAAATTTACTCACTTTATAGATAGAGCCCGAGATAGCCGCACCAAATGCTATCATAACTGCCGCTAATGTCTTATGTTGGACGCCATCCATATAAACCAATAAAGCGATTCCGGTGTCACATATTATCACAGCAACGATCTATTGATCACAAACACAAATGCAATTAATGACATTTGGCTAATCGATTGCTACAAATCAATTGCAGAGACAATCGCTTTCTCAAAGCCAATAATACTCTACTGACACGAATGCCGACGAACTGCTGGTGCAAAACAACCCACGAAAGCAAATACACGATAGAGACGGAGCACGAGAACAGTGCCATCACGACAGTCGTGTCCAGTATTCTCAACGCAAATATAAGCATATAGTTTGTAATCATCCATAGCACACAGAAAGAGCCGCACCGCCCGAAGAACTGCATTAATGTGAACCCTTTCTCCATAAAACCCTGAATACTTTCGCTGCAAATATAAAGACCACATAAACAACTAAGCGATTAATTATTCTGACGATAATTATTCTGTTGCTATAATCTTATAATTATTGCGCAAAGAATTAGAGTAAACAAAGCGATTACTGACACAAACATCTTTCTAGTGGAGTCCTTATGACAGCAACACAATCGACTCAATGTATAGATTGGAAGAAACAGAATATTCCAGAGCGAGCAGAACCAGGTGGCCAGGAAGGGGGCGTCAAATACCACCTCATAGTCCTTTTCGATCGTATATGTGGTCTAAGGATATCATTTTGTTTTTCATTTTTAAATCTTCATAATAATTATAATTATGTTTCAAGTAGCACATCATTAACATACCTGTGCCTCATGTCTGGTACTGTCTGTGGAATTTGAACTCAAATGAAGTGAATATGGATTATCTTCGTTGACTACTTTATTAAAACTAATTTTCATGAGATATAGGGCTCCGACCCATGAGAACGAAATCATAATCATTAACACAATTCCTCGTAAAATCTTTTTCGTTTTGTTCGAGCATTTTGTTTGACTATTTTCTCCACTTTCACTATTATTTTGCTCATTAATTCCTATTAAACATTATACAGGTACATTTATTATCAAATAAATGTAGTTATTTTATTTTATTTAATAATTCATTATTAATCACTATTTTGAAATCTATTGTACGGTAAATCAAATATATTATAATAATAACAAATTATTTACTAACAACGCTTAAACAAATTATTGAACAAATTCAAACACAAAAACAAACACAAAATTAAACGCTAAAATTAAAATAATCGCTAAAATAATTTAAATTAATATATTATCAATGTTCAACAAGAAATTAATTTGGTTTATAATGTAAAATGAATAAAATAAAATAATTAATACATATAAATAGCTCATTGAATAATTATCAATCAAAGAATCGTTGTTTGCAAACATCATTGACTTACCAAATGGTCTAAATTTAGTTGAATTAACTGCACTGATAAGCATTTTCTTATACAATCACTTCATTCATTACACAAATCTAAATATATAACATATAAATAACAATTTATTTTATTAAATAAATTATGTGTAATCATATTGACCCTGATTATACCTCAATATAATTGCAGAGATTGAAAGTGAAAATAATTGAATTCACTGTTTGATAATCATATTCATAGTCAAAGTCAAGTCACAGCGAAAGAAATATTTTACATAATTGTGAATAAATATGAATACTGTATAATAAAACAAGAATATAAAGCCAGTGATATTAGCGTCTGAAATAGGATTCCTAAATAAAATTTGTGCTCAATTTGTGAGTTTCACTCCCTTTACACATACTTTATGTCAATAAACACAAGAATCTCATACAATGTTTGCGCAACTCTTGGACCGATTCTTTAGCAATCAATTCTTGCGTTTAATACACAAAAACGCAAACATATAATACACCAATTAATGAACAAAAAACTATAATTTTGCTATATATTGCTCATATTGACTCTTTTCACATAATATATTCATATACTTTGTAAATAATATCGACCAGCTTTTAAAACAAACATATATTTCAAATGGTCTAAATGTCAAAAATAAATTTAATGTAATCGCTTTCAATTTACTGTAGTCGGCACAACATAGTATTATAAATTCAAGTATCATCATAATGTATAAAACGCAACGTATAATATAAAAATCAATTTTTAATATTAAAATAATGTCTTAAAATATCATATTATGTAACATTTCCGTATTGAGATTATACAGACAATATGTAGACTATTATATTGTATTTATTTATACCATATATTAAGAATCATTTGCATAAAAACATTAACAGAATTTTGCATAAACAGCTTATTATTAAATAAAGAAGTTTATTGCAAAATATTAAATAAATTAATATAAATTACCATTTTTATTTACCATATAACAAAGGTAAATAACATAAGAAATATAACCTTATATTAATCTTAGTTTAAATAATAAAATAAGAAAATTAATAAAAAATGATAGCGTCTAAAGATAATTGATTAAGGGTAACTAAAAACAATTGCTTTTCTCATATACAATATATCAAAAATACAGCGATTCAAGACTAAACCATAATGCTAGGTTTAATATTAAATTACAAAAACTTATTTATATTATACTTTCATTTATTTCCTAATTTATTGTTCCGATTCTTGAGAGACTTTTTGTTCGCTAATAAATTATTTTAAAACACGATTCTGTCTAATGTTTCGGTTTTTTGTGTACAATTGAGTTGCTATAGAAATACCTGTCGAAAGATTTATTGCAGACTAAAAAAATAAGTTCACAAATAAATTCTTGCATTCGGTATCAACAAAATTAATCATTAAATATAAGTAATAGTATTTTTAAAAGGTATTTAAAGTAATTAATAGTTTTATTTATAAGATGTTAAACAAGCATAATATTTTCATAATAAATGCAATATTCTTGTTATTATTATTAAGTCTATCTCATAAGAGCTTACAGCTCATTGAATGCCAATTTGCAAACACTGCCGATAATCCATGCATTCATGGCATATGTTTAAGCGCTAATAATAATCATAGTCTGGGGTATCAGTGCTATTGTCATAACGGCTACACAGGAATCAATTGCACCAAAAAGTTTGATCTATGCTTACACCAGAATCCGTGCCAAAACAGTTAGACATCGCTAACTAATTAATTACTTGAACACATCATTTGACACGAATTTCTATTTCAGATGCTTTTTGCAAGAATTCAGAAGATAATGCAGATGTTCAGTGTATCTGCAATCCTGGTTATTGTGGTCAGTACTCAAATATTAAGCCATAATTTTCATATTAACTTTACAGGTACTTTTATATTCATATAAATAATTTAACAACTTTTTTCAGGAAAGTATTGCGAATCAGAAGTAAATGAATGCATTTCCAACCCGTGCCTCAATAGAGTGAGTCATTTGTAGTAAATGTTTCAAAAAGCAATATTAAACATAAGATTCAGAATCCGTGTTATGGAAGAAAATAATTCAATAAATTTATAATGACTTACTTTGAGTGCAGGGTATTTGTGTGGATAAAGTGAACGATTATGAGTGCAAATGTCCCAAAGGGTGAGAACAATATTAACTAATTAGACAAATAATTAATAAAATTTTAAAATAATTAGATATATTGGAAAGCGTTGTGAGACTGATGTGAATGTTTGCACAATCAATAATTCGTCACAATTTTTTGAAACTACTTTATGCTATAACGGCGGCACATGTGTCGATGGCCCGGGTGATATATATTTTTGTGCCTGCAATCCGGGTAAATTACACAGAATATTCTGTATTTAAAAACATATAGTGGGTTTTAATTAGACATTTTCTCCAGGATATAGTGGACAGCGATGTGAATACAAAGTACGAGAATGCGATTCCAATCCATGCCTTCACGGCGCCAGATGTGAGGAACGGGAGTCTGACTACTATTGCACCTGTAGTTTAGGTTAGTAATCAAACCAAAAAGCAATAACCAAAAATATATTGAATAGCATTTGTATGTAAATATAATAAAAGGCTGGACTGGAAAGCGATGCGAATTACCATTAATTGATTGCAAACACAATGTATGCAAAAACGGTGGCATTTGTTTGAGAGTAAACACCAGTCTTACAAATACTGAACGAAATGTCAATTCTTTGAACGAAACAATATTCTGCTATTGTTTGCCTGACTTTTATGGCCAATATTGTCAAAACACATACAATGAATGTACACCTAATCCGTGTCTTAACGGCGGCTTTTGCATCGATGGAGTCGATAGTTATGTCTGCAATTGTAGCCATGGATTCGTTGGAAGCAATTGTCAAATCGATTGCTCGGATCCAATGAATGATGAATTCTGTTTTGCATCACTCACTGCCTCAGTAACCAAATCGACATCATATATACCGATGACAACCACAGTCCCACTCGTGTCTTCAGTTTTTAATGAATCCATTTATATAACCTCTTCTATCCCTTCCCTTCACTTAAACTCGTCGGATATCCAATGGATGAGTACTCCGATTCTGAGTACATCTCATATTATGGATTCATTTTTAGGGTCAACACCACTCATGAGTCTAACACCAGTGCCCACAATCACTGCCACTGCCATCAGCTCTTATTACATACCAGAACCGAGTCCAAGATATGAACCAAATATAACGGTTCTGCCAAATGTCACTCAAGACTTGAAAGTATTTATTCCCAGATTTAATGGATTTAATTCTTCAATAATATTTAAATCTAAAAAAGTTAAGCGAGATTTTGTCAGCATTTCATTAAGCCTTAAAGCCGACAACACGAGCACCGGTATAGTTCCGGTGCTGTACTCTAAAAGCAAAGACAATCACGAAATGCTTCTCTATATTGAGAACAATACCATTAAAATCATTTTATCAAAAGGATTAAAACAAGTTTTAGTTATTGAATCAAACTTCACAATCGCTTCCAAAGAATTTCATAGAATAAATACAAAACTATGGATTCCTGACCACAGAGTAAACTATGTTTTAAACCTGAATGAGAGCCTCAAAACAGGCGGTTCTCAAGATGTGATTGAAAGCGATTCCACAGAATTGTGTTCATTCGAGATCTTTCACGCGGGAACTATACCTGCAAATCATGGCATCCCTATACGATTGAATCAAACAAATGTTGTTTCTATTTGTATTCAAAACTTATACATCAATAAACAAGAAATGTTTGTAAGGGATGCCATTAAAGTTAATGATATAAGTGAATGCAATTCAACGGGTAATCTATGCGACCAAAAGCCCTGTAGGAATGGAGGTCTCTGTCAAAGTGATAGCCACCAGGACTGGCACTGTATTTGTCCCGAAGGTTATAAAAACACATTTTGTGAGACCTCGTACTGTAGCCATGGGTTATGTCAAAACGACGGCATATGTATTCTGCCCGACGACCGAACCTATCTGTGTGTCTGTCCTCACGGCTGGAGCGGAAGGAATTGTGAATCAAGTGAATATTTTTCGTATCAATTATTTTGTGTAATTTTCTAATTAAATAATATCTTGAAACTCATTTTTATTATAAGAATCCAATCAAACGATGGCATCGTTTAATTCGGACCCAAATAAGAAGTCATTCATTAAATACAATCTCAAGAATCTGACCAATCATTTGGAAATAAAGTTCCGATTCGCGACTTTACAGCCAAACCAAAGCAAAGCACTCATACTATTTATGGGTAATCTCCAGAATAAGACACAAAATCCTCATTTTATTGTCGACTTCTTAAGCATATCATTGGAATCGGGAATTCTGTGCTTCAGAATAAATTTAGGACACGGTTTGTGTGCAACTGTCCACCCATTTGTTAATACTGTATTGAATATAATCCTAATTAATGAGATTTAAACTTACATTTAAGGCACAAAACTTCTATCGACGCCAATAAACGCCGCTCTGAGGGAACAGTTAGTCTTCTTTGGTCATCACAAGCAGTTTGTTTGGCTGATTGTAGTCCCCGAAGACATCGACAAAACGAGACCAATTGTGGGCGAAACACCCCTTTCCTTCCACGCGCTCAACGTTTCGCCCCATTTATACGTCGGCGGACACGAGTCATACACAGGACACCCATTCCTAACCTCTTATCATGGCTTCAAAGGTATTAATATTATTTGAGACAAATTCTGGCAAAATATATGATTTGTCATCATTTAATCTAAAGGTTGTATTTATGACATTGAAATCCGCGATCATTTAAACGTCAACTTCAGACAACTTTCTGACGATTTTATTAATAAGTCTTCAAATATAGGCGTTTGTAATATAATCGATGACTGCCTTCACTAATAGATTATTAAAACTTTTGAGATCTAATATATATTGTACTATATTTGAGTCACAATTTTAAACGTTTTCTAATATGTATTTATAAATACAATGTAAACTAAAGAATAATAAAATTGTAATTCAGACTGTATTTAAAAAGCCTAATATTCTTGAGTTAACACTTACAGTTTTATTTTTTGTTAATTATTAAAGCTTAATTTAGTGTATGGTATGCATTTAAATTATAATAATTTATAATTAATAACAGTAACTTAATAATACCGTAATGTTATAACTATTAACAAAATAATAGCCAGAATATTAAACCAAATACTAGTAAGCTATTTAGTAGAGTAAACAGAATTTTGTTTTCAATGCAAAATACAAACACAAGTTATGTTACATTTTCCATTAAAGAGATAAATATTCAAACACATAAAATAATATAAAGATTGAAAGAGAACATACTATTAATATTTATAGTAATCGAGAAAATCTAATGAATATTTTATCACAAAATATTTTGTTGTTGTTATTTGTTTGCTTATACTGTAATCTATATTTTAATAAAATGTTAAAAGTATTCAAACGAAACGAAATGAGAGAATCATAGAAAGTATCAAATTAGTCAAAAGTTTTCTCATTAAAAACATTTATTGATCGAAAATATAAGACATAAATATTTATAAAATAATTTTCATATAATTATATTTTTTCATCCGATTCTTTGGAAGCAAAACCAAGAATTGCATAGAAATTAATGGAATTCATATCGTTTGGAAGGCTTTGGCTTTTGAGTTAATCATTTGAATTCAGTCTTTAAAATAAAACTTCTGGTCGTTTAAAATAATGAGAATCTGTTAACTAATGATAGTCTATAAATAATTTATAAATCTATGACTTAATGAATAAAATGACGATTCATTTGACTCGACCGCTGGATGTCCTGAGCCGGGAGAGTCCGGTAGTGCTGGTGTCCTGAACCCT